GTTTGGAATTTGTGTCTCCTGTCCAAAAGGTGAGACTGGAAATTTTATATATTGCTATCCAGTTAGTACCACAAGCACAAGTTCACCTGACCGATGATCATTCTTTGAGGACACCCCTGACACGCCGGCTTGCCAAAAGGTGGAACGTGGAGTTGACATTCTAGCTGATTTCCAATTTGTCTGATTTCAAGTGTACGGATTGGTAGTGGTACAACCTAGAGTCTTCAGTTAATATTCACACCGAGTGGAGAGTACATTGGTAGTAACCAGTGACAGGTTGAAGAGAATGCAGAAGAAAAGTGATGTTCTAGCAACATGATTTATAGTGATCAATATGGATCCACTTTCATATTGATGCTCAATCTTTTCATACACGGAAACGACACACACTTTCTGAATAATTGTTTTCTTCGAAAACTTTAGACATGTTCGGCCTGGTGGAGAAAGTTATGGGTAACGAACCAGCCACTAATACACGATCTTGCTTGGACTAATTTGGTGTTTCTAGAAAGGACATACTCGATGATCATGTGCACGACCCAAACGTTCCATTTCATGGTCCACCTTGCCTCTCCCTTGTTTCCTTGACTCCATCCTCCTAGATGCATGTACCATTAACTCAGGTCAAGCTAGGGCTCTGCTCATCTTGACCTCACTCTACCAACAAGCCCACGACTGACAATAGTGATTACACTAGGTTATGACACTCCCACTAGCTGATGCATGTACATCCGAGAAATTTTCTAAAGCTCCAAACTTCAAAGACAGTGAATGGCCACTTTCTGACGGTGGTATGAGGTCGCTTATTCAGTGCTATCTTAACAACTGAGCTCTTTTTATACTCGGTAATCCACAAAACGGACACATACAAAAGATGGGCGTATGCAGAATGGATATGAGAGTCTTACGGGACCTTGTTAGGATAATGTGCCTAATACTGCCAACTAGAACTTCCTCTATCCGGACAGACAGAAGTTGTGCACCGTATATAACAGGAAAATTAAATGCTGTGGCCGAGTTTCCTCACACTGGCTCGCAATTATTAAGTTTATATCAAAAAATGTCAATCAAGTTGACTCGATTCCATGAATGCCTCTGAATGGCAACACTGAGAGAAAGGAAGGGAGAACTTGAAGGGATTTCAGTTGGACTGATGAACTTTACTTGATATGGGGTAGGTGAGGTAGAGGCTTTACGCCCGGCAACTTCTCGAAACCATACTGTGCTCCCAGGTTTCATTCGTGTGCAAGATCTATACACAAACTCAGTTTACAGTAAATTCTACGGGGGTGGCAGATATGCTCGCAGGAAGTTTCTAATCCATTTCCTGATGAGACTGCAGGTTCTTCTTCACAGAAGGGCACACAATTTGTCGACATTAGAACAGCTGCCAGATTCCACATTGGGAGTAAAGAAGTATTCTTTTTTAACTGCTTCCAAAATACTCGTCCATGCAAACAGTGCATGTTCCATGATTTCTCTTGCATAGTGAGGTACTGTTTTGTGGAGTGTCGAATTTCTGTGCAACTTGTCTTGTACGTGTCACGTGTTGCACTGATCAATGTTGCAGCACTAGGCGTCCGACAGCTCATTACCGAGCTCCCCACTAGCTTCTAGAACTCGGAACTAACCAAACCAGATCATGCAGTCAGGATCATCAAGCAGCAGGTTCAGCCTTGAACTCCTGGCTACAACGAAAACACTTGCGATTAAACTCATCTATGGCAGGCTAGTTGCACAAGTTGCCAGTCGAATGGGCGAATGCAGAGTTTGCAGTTGCTGTAATTGTCACTTTGACAATCATCTTCCGATCGATTTCACTGAAGCTAACCTAAGGTCACACCGAATCTCCTGGTTTCTCATACCGAATCGAGCTACTCATAACTCCAACTGCACCTGATCCAAGATCGCCCTACACCGGAAGATGTCGTTGTAATAGAGTGGGCAACGAGTAATATAGACTCCTTGAAGTCGTACATGGATGAAACCAAAACTGGACAGTGATATTACTGTGAAGGCACCACGGGATTCTCAAATCGTCAGTACGCACAGCCTTGAATTGAATATACATAAAGAGGTGGTAGATCCCAGGAAGGCGACAACAATAGATCTAGCAACTCAGATGGTTGTTGTTCGGGCCCACAAGCCGAACCGGTAGGACTGTGTCCACCCTTTCGTACCTTTCACAAGCATCAAGGACGGTACGAGTGTCCTTTCTTAGATTTAATCAGCTCATTCTATCCGACGATTTTCCTTCACTCCGTTGTTCATTGATGGCAGCATATCAGGAGCTTGGAGGAATATATTTCTGATCGTGTGTTCACTGCTAGTTGGCCAAATAGACTGAAACAGCCTTTGCATGTTCCAGCTTCGGAACCCGGTGTTGTCGGTACTGCGTAACGTGGCCGTCTACTGGGTGCTGTTGGGATTTTTGCAGATATGTTATGATGTTCTGTGTCTCAGAAGAAATTGCTGACAGTCTTTCCTCACCACCTTTGGGCTCTCTTGACAAAGTTCTTGGAGGCTTGCATGAAGACTTGTGGGCGGACCCGCACTCTGGTACAATTCAACGGCGAACATTCTTGTAGAAGCGACGAGTCGAAGCGTACTTGTTAAAACTCTCGCGGCAGTTGCCTTCCCCAGCTGCACACTTGTGTCCTTCAAGTGGGGGGCATGCATCAAAGTATGTAGTTCCTTCTTACGCTGGACTCTTAAAAAACGCACAATATTTCACTTAGAGGCGAATAGCCGCATGTGGCTGAGAGCAAATGCTAAAATGTCAAGGCAAGATATTATTCCTGTGCAGGAACCAAGGGCCTCCACATTACCAATGAGAGTCTAAGGTCGCTGATCTACTCTTATAGAACAATTGGAGACGAATTGTTTGTATATCTGTTAGAAGAGTTCATAATTGAGTGTCCACTGCAATTTCTGAAAGCTCAAGAGTAGGGAATTGAGCGTCAGGTCGTACTGTGTCCAACTTTTAAGGACTTGCAAACATTCTCCTGCTCAGGGTTTACTAACAAGAATTCGGCAGATGGCGACTTCTTTCACAGTCAGAATGACATACATTTACCTCTTAGTGGATGCAGAGCGCAATGAGTCTGCACAGTACTGTAGTGATCGAGTTCCTGCACATGTGTTTGACAATTCTTCTACCTGAAAGCGATAAATACATTAATACTAAATGATAAAACCGTTAATATTTAATGGAGAGAAGCAACATATGGAGGAAAGGAGTTGCGTTCCTCGCTCGGGATGAAGCTAAAAGCTTGCCCTTCAGAACTATGTCAAAACGTACTGCGCAAATCTGGTACATGCGCGTTGAAAACAGTGTTGAAAAGCATGGAACCCAACAAGCATACGTAAAGTATCAAACAAGAGACCAATATATTTCTATTATCCAACGATTATGCGGTAAATGAATTGTATCTCTCGGACGAATCCTTTCGATACTTGTTTCTGTTCGTCAGATTCCGCGGAGTTCATGTTGGATTTCTCAGCACTATATACCTTACGTGGTAACCTGGTGCACTGTTTCCATGTTGGATCTACTTTGTGGACGTGTCGAATGAACACAGGATCCGGACTGGTGTCGGAGATAACGACCTGTGGTGGGTTGAGCTACTGACTTTGGAGTTGTTTGTCGCATCAAACACCCGAGTCTAGAATCAACCGCCCTCCTCAGGAAGACAACTCAGAAGATATGACAAGTATTCTGACTATTCGTAGCACATTAACATCATTCTGTCGAGACAATATGATGTTAGTACAGGAAACTTGAACACTCGTACTTGAACTTGCGCTTGGAATAGGTGGTTGTTTGACACTTGCTTCGTTAATGTAGGCCTTGAGTTGAGCTTGAACAGAACATACTTGCTTTAAGAACTCAAAATATGTACCACCTCGACGTCTACATAATTGAGCCTAAGGTACTCATCAATTGTTTATTCTAATGATCAATTTTGAGGACTTCTTCACCGAAGATAACGGCACTGCTTTTGAAACTGGTACAAAAAACCGCCCTAATATCTATTACTCACTTCAGTTTATATGATTGAGCCTGTATAAACTTGAGAAAGCGTAGGATCGGCCAGATATTGCAAACAAAAAAGATATGTGCGTTAGCTTGTTCTTAGTTTCTTGAGTTACCAAACGTCCATCGAATCCTGTTAAATATTTATATATTATATGATACTGTACGAAGCCTTTTGTTCAATTATATGCATTTTATGAATTTATCTTTGAAAAACTATGAACTTGAAGAAGTGTCCTAAAGTCATCTATGTCCTAAAGACATAGATGACTTTGACCGAAAAGTTATATTAATGGCCAAAGATAGTTGAGTCGCAAGATTTGAATGACACCAGATATCATATTTTAGATATTGTGACCATGTGCGCATGCTTCGTACTTTTAGCGTGTAATGCATGGAGCAAGTCTTGATCGTTTAAAACTAATTCTTTATTCTGAGTACATCTTTATGACAAAAGCTTACAATTAAGGTAGACCCAAGGATGCAAATGAATGTCAAGATATAAAACATCAAAAACATTCACCAAGAAGATTTACAACATCATGGTCAATTTCTGGGCTCGATGTTATATAACCGTTGAGTTTAACTAATCTTTGTATTGAAGTCAGTTCCAACAAAACCTATTCAATATCAAAAATAACCCATGGGTGAATTCATGAAGGTGACTGGTACCTATATGAAAGTTTACAGTTTACTTCCAATGTTAGTAAGACAAATAAGTACAATTGATTTGAAGCAGACAGAGCGATATTATTCCACTTTAGCTCGCCTTCATATATGTCTCCTTACCTCAACCCTCTCTCTTAGGGTCATTGTATCTAAACCCAAATTTTCACTAAAATTTCTTTTCACATACAATGATCAATGTACTCCTCCCATACTCTTTCCTTCACTCGCTTTTATACAGAAAAATCAGTTTCTGTACACAGGTAACTTAACATAAAGGACTAACTAACAAACGTCGCTACGTGTTATCACCACTTGTAAGAAACGATAAAATATTATTTCATCTATGAGTACCTTCAAAACCTACTTCGACAACTGGTGACGATTCTTCACCATCAAACTGTTCAAGTATCTTGTGGCATGACATCTAATCTTTCCTATAGATTCCCAACTTGGGTCCCTGCGAGCGGCTGAACCTGTCACATACAACATTTGAGTCAGTACGATCGGTGGCCATCTAATAATATCTCGTACAACAGTTTATTGTGGTATGACATGTCCATGAAAAGTTGGAAAAAACAAACGAGCTGTGAAGAAGTCGTTATCATATACTCAGCCTTGCTCTAACAAAAGTTCTACAAGTACAGAGATACGTAACATTTCCATTCATAAGGCAGCAAAAAAAAATAAATCTTCTTAATGAGGACACATCAGAAAAAGTTTCTAGTATTAAAACAAAAGGATGGGAAGACCCCATCAAGTCTTACAAACGGGGTGAATGATCTACGCCCCAATAATCAGCATCACGATCGGAAACATGTGCTGTGAAATGATTGTAATATCAAAACTATCTAATTACTACATTGTCATCCAAAGAAAGATCACCCAATGCAGTCTAGAGAAAGTATTCTCTGAACTTTGAGTGCTCCCTCGTCCGGTTGATTACAATGGACATTTTCACCTTGGCAGTGGAAGAAGTGTAAACACTCATTCCTTAAGTTGCAACAAACATGTTCTGTACAGAGGACTGTACGGAGCATCATGTAACGCAACTGACCTTCTATAGGCTGGACTAACAAGGGCTTGATACAAGGCAACTGTCCATGCTTTATATATGAGGATGATACTCAGTATTTCATGCCCATATGACTGATATGGTACATTATTCTCTATGTCTATATCTTCCTTCGCACATGCCTTTCTTCATCTAGTCTATAATATACTCTAGAAAGGACAAGAGCTTGATAGTGTAAAAATACACTCCGGCAAACAACAGTCAAAATCCTTCAGGTACATCGAAATTCCTCATCACGTCCTGCCAGCTTCTGAAGGAAGAGCATGTAGTTTTCTCAGACATTTTAGTGTTCAGCGTCATTGTAATCACCCTTCAGTCGTCTATGCAGTCATATACATCTACAAATTATCACTAACTCCAGTAGAGACCTCTCTACTTCGCAAGGTGTTTAAAAAAATTCTAGCGACAATTTAGATTTGCTACTCAATCCACATCAGCAAAGTATATGTTTCGATTGACATGCATGACAAGCATGGTTTTCAAAAAAAATCGAACAACATTTATTGTTCGACTTCTTCTTGTTTATTTCTAAGTCGCCAACTTTGAACATTCACCTACTGTAGGTCGTAAATAAATAGACCAGATTTACTATACATCGAGCAAAACATAAGGAACAATTTCCCCACCGGTAAAGCGCCTAGGCTGATCACCCGCTCACAAGCGCAGGCACAAATATCCACTCCTTCTCAGCAGACTGAGTATTCAGCATTTACAACCGCAAAATTCAATCAAGTTCAAACTTGAGTATCCTCAAACGCTTGGCATTTGAGTGGTTGGAGATCTATAAACAAATTGTGGACTGATCTAGCTCTACAGAAACTACAATAGTTGTTGCGTAGGAGCTTGCTCACTTGGCAGGAGCGCTATCGTCTACTTCCATGTCACTGCTGCCGACTTGCGGGTCCTTTATCGGAAGCAGCTGATCCTTCAAGGTTGCAACGAAACCCATCTTCACTTCACCAGCTTTCTCCATGATGGTCTCCTTGGCAGCAATCATCTTCTCGGCTACTGCTTCCCGTGTGGCTGCGACCTTATCGGCGGCAGCATCCTCAGTCTGAACTGCCGTCTCAGAATCTGTGGCGTCACCCAGTTTGGCATCCGTTTCTTCTGCAGTCTGTGATTTGGCATCCGTGCTCGGAGGAAGCGAGGCCGGAAGAGAATCAGAACTCTTGCTTGTGTCGCTCTCGGCGAGGGCCGCACTGAAGTCCTTCAGCTCATTGCTACCCTGGGGAATTCCAGACCCGGTTCTGGCAAGTCCCGAGCCCAGGCCAGAGCCCGTTCGAGCGAGACCACCTCCCCCGCGAGAGCTTCCACGAAGACCTCCGCTGCCACCAAGACCACCTCCTAGGCCTCCGCTTTGAAGGGAGGCGTCGCCAAGGCCCCTGTTCCCGTGGTGGGCACTGACACGAAAGTGCGGCTTGCCCCGAGGAATTCCGGCGCCTGTCAATTTCTTGAATTTCGTTCCTGGGTGCTCTTGGGATCCCTGTGCGTCATCGTCGCCAGATGCTGCGAGCTCGGATTTGCCCGCGTCCCCGCCGTCGTCCGAGACGCTCTCTTCCTTCTTGTCACCTGATGATTCTCCGTGGTTTTCCTTGAACTCGCTGGCGAATGTCTCCGCCACATCGCTCTTCACTACGAGGTCTTGGGGATCGGCGGAACCGGCTTCTGCGGTATCCATTGGCTCGCCAGTCGATTCCAGCTTTCGAGCACTGTCAGTGAGCAGAGCATCCCCGACACGGGACTCCGGAAGCTTCTCGGCCCTGCTCGCTCCCTCGAACAGAGGTTCGCTCTTGATCGTTCCGACACCGCTCTCGATCTGTCCTTTCACATCGTGAAGCGGATCATCATGGATCGGATGTTCCACATTCTTCACGTCCTTGTCTCCCATCACCTGTGCCATCCCGTGCTACTTGCTAGTCGATCCTGTCCTTGAAAACAGCTGGTTGGCCTCAGACAGTAACGGAATCCTCGCTCGCACGCACGCACGCACACACACACACACACTCTCTCTCTCTCCCTCCCTCCCTCACAGCCTTCCGAAGAGAGCTCCGAAGCAGTAAATTTCTGCGACCAAGAATTTTGAGGGCGGGTTCGGAGCCACAAGTATCCGATCGAGGTGACTCTAATTTGAGCCCGAGCAGGATCGGACCCGTAGATTGATGGTCTGGGTAATTGCGGATTTACAACATGGGCTCTCTGTGCGCCAGATGCAGCCAAGAGAGAAGAGAATATGCGAGAATGTGGAGCTGCTCGTGGTGGAGAAGGAAGGAAGACGATCTATAAGACGCAGAACTCTCGACGTTCGAAGGTCGGAAGACGAGCAGAGACACAAGCATACAATCGCAGCAGCAGAGCTCCCGACACTGCGAGGAGCGGTGACGTGGGGAGTACGTATCACGTGTCGATGATCGGGCCGGACACTTGTCATAAGCTGCAAGCCCCAATCACCGTCGCGACCTGTCCTTGCGCACCGTGGCGGAGGGCGATTGGCGGAGGAAATATGGTGGGAAATCTGTCAGTATCTTTAACTTCCGCGCGCCAGGTGTCGGTCTGGCATACGAGGCTATCGTGGTTTGACGTTTTCGAGATGGAAGCGGTCATGCGAAGAGTGTCCCGACTGCGCTACGCGTGGCATGGCCAAGTCGGAATATTTCCCGCGAACGTTGGTTATTTTGGATCGAGCGAGATAAATAATCCTCGCCACCACTCCTGCTCTCAGTCGTGATTGATTCTGTCATGCGAGTCATCAGACCCGAAAGCCTCGTCATCACTCTCGCGACCAGTCGTAATCACCACCACAAATCCTGGCCGCTCCACTCGAACTCAACTCAAAGCTGCCGGGACGTACGTGGTGAAATGTTGCAAAGCTCACCGAGAAGAACAGAACCCTTCGATCCGAATTGCACGTAACAAAACGCCATGTTTCTCTGATTATGGCCAGCATGTTTGTCGCCAACCACCTAGGGTTCAAATGATTGCACCAAAAGCTGATGTATTTTCTCCAACTGCGTTTTCTTTTCCATTCCCGCCTCTGGCCCAACCTAGTTAGACTGATCTTGAATGGTACGTCTACTTTCCGGCCGAATAGCCAATGGATGGAATAAACATGCGCTTGCTTCGCTTTGGGCGACGGCACAGCTGGAGACGCTGACAGCGATGGGCAATTGAGAGAAATCAACCTCGAGAATTGCAGAGAAACAAATAGTAGTTATCGAGGCGCCAGCCAATGAGATGTGATCCAACATCCAGATCCTCTACTTTCCACCGGGATGAAACCCTGACCTACTCCAGGTCTTGGTACTACCTGCTACAAAAGGGCCCCGAGCTTTCCGTCCATATCGCATTGAGGGCACGTGCCTTACTGTTCTGAAACTCACGATGAATCCATAGCATTGCCTGCACGTGCCCCGAGCTTTTAATTTTGCCTCACCTTTCGCGGATGATTCTAGCACAAGTAATAGGTGTCATCAAGACTATTATTCACCCCTTCCTGTTTACAGTACTTCATCCTTTTGAATATGTGATAGACCTCTATTCTTCATGTGAAAAGCACGTTTCCTTACTTGAATATCTCTTTCATGATGAGAAGAATTACAGTTCGATTTGTAAAGATTTCTAGACATTGAAGTCATCTTTTCAATCATTTGTTTTTATCTAGTTTTGTTCCCATGCAAGTCAGAAATTTCGAAGGCTTGTACAATAATATATAGCCATTCCTGAAACTATGATCTAATATTGAATAACACTGATGAGATACTCATAGATATTGTGATGGTATTTATAACATTATAATTTTTGTTTTCGCAAAGTATTAAATTACTCAAGAGTGACGGATTTTACTTCTCTGATGACAAAGATTCGTGCAAATATGAAGCCTGTGTAATTTTAAAAATGAAAAAGATAACAAAGAAAATTGAAAATATCAAATTAATAGGAAAAAATTAATATGTATGATTACAAGCAGGCAGTAGTAGAATCATGACTAAATCTGAAAAATAGTTTGGGTGCCAGAAAGTTCTGTTGTGACCTGCAGTTTAGCAAGATGATCTAAGTCCTGTTTTCGGTCTTGTGATAATGCCAGACTACAACCTATGTAAGGAACCTTGAACTATAACTATCTAAAATAGATATTTGTTGAACTTGACATTCATTTTATTCTGATTGCATGGATGGGTTCATGTCCTAGTCTTTTTAGGCTACCATAGAAGACATCCATTTGTAAGCTCCCAAAATGGATTGTGATTATGGGGGCAAAGGATTTAAGGGCACGGTGACTGATCTTTTCGATACGTTTGTGATACTCTCTATTCGTGCAGATAATAGTGAGAGATCGTAACGGGGCATGCTAGTGACTGCGCATTGACAATGGGTGACAAGATAGAATACATTCATTGTAACTTTGGAGACCAAATGAAGTTAACTCATCACGTCATTAAAGATGTGATATCTTTTTTGCACAATAATATAAAACATTTTGTAGAAACAATGCTTACTATACTTTGCAATAGACACAAGTTATGATAGATTATTGAGTGGTTTAGGAATATCATGTTACTTCTCTATATGTTTATAATCCATGCTCATACTTGTGTGTATCTCAAACCAAGTTTATACTGTAAACAATTTATAAATGTCTATGGTTGTGTACATGGTTGAAATTAAACATCAATTTACGCTTTGCTCTATTCACTAGCTTCCATTCTACTATGACTAACAAAGAAATTCCACCTTTGGCTATAAGGAGATTCGATATTCCAACCCTTTTTTTGGATTACATTTTCCAAATTTTCTTTTAGACCACTTCGAGAAAGTTTCGTTGATTCATTTCATCGCTAAGAAATGTATATTACATTTTTAGTAGAAATTCCTTATGAGATATATCTAATTATTTTATTATATTTTTAAATGTGCCTTGCACGTCCAATCTGATCAGGATAGTCCAAAATTTTGATAATGGACCATGCGTACATATATGTCCACCTTTGATAGTAAGAGTGAGAAAACACATTACGGCACATTTATGTACTACATTCACTAGTACTTTGCCGAGAAGGATTTCATGGCTATTTTTCTGGATTTATAAAATGTTCTCCGCTTATCCTAGACTCGTATAACGAGGTTATTGTACAATTTTACTTGTGTGTTTAAACGCTCAATGGTATTCATAAACTTTTTTATTATTGAATTATGAACATAATGAACTGATTTTTTTAGTACAATGTATTATTCAATTAGAACTAGGACTATAAAAAAACAGTGTACTTTTAACAAGATCTTTATTTATTCCCAGAAGCTAGCCTACAGTTTACAGATTATTTGCAAAAACCACAACAATAATTAGCTGTACGAACGCTTCAAATTTCTATGTAAGCATCAAAACGTACTCCCTAACTTTATTTACTTTCTCACTCCTTACCTTACCCAGATCCAATATTGGCAGACGATAAATTATTTTCAAAACATACATTTCGTGAGTTTTAGTCTTTTCGGCAGAAACTACAAGTTGCAAATATTTTTCATGACAGTGCACACCAACACCAACATCTTGAAATTGCTCTTTTACTGTCCAAAATGAGAAAAAGCTGGGCCAAAATGAGAAAAAGTATGAGCTGGATAAAGCTAACATGCAAAAAAACACTGTATGACTTATATTCAATCAACTTTTGGTAATACAATTATTACTTTAACAAATTATAACGGAAATACAAAAAGTTGGTCCTCCTCCAATCTCGGATCCAAGGGAGTTGCTTTGGTAAGCTGTGTAGAGTTAGATCTGCTTAGACTAAGCCTATGTATTGGCTTCGCCCTGCCCTTGCGGAAAGCCCTTCGGCGTCTACGACCCATGTATTCCTTCGGGGTTTAAGACTCGATCAAGAGGATAGCTACCCTAATCTACGAATATTCATCCCAGTGTACAAAATTAATGCAAAGAACGGGTCGATGCCACACCTTGTTTTTCTATCTACTCAGTGCTTACGGTTCAGTAACGAGACAGTCGGAGACTTAACTGCATGGACGGAGCAGAGTCCTGAGTTGTGCATGCGTTCGTGAACATTAATCGGTTCCGAGCGATGCATCATTCACAGGGATGATTCCGTGCTGCAAGTGCATGCAGATAAATTCCACGTGTTGAAACGCATCTCCTAACAATCAAGTTTGACATGCAGAAAACTTGTGAAATGGCGAGAGGCTGTTCAACGCCTCTTCATGATGAATTCCTTGCAGATAAGTAAACCTACTATGAGATACATCCCTGGTGGCCATTTCCTCATGAACTAAACCATTTTCTTGGTGTAGTGAAGATTCCACTTCATTGACCTCTCAGTACGCAGAAAAAAATGGCTTATAATTGTCCATTCTTTGTTGTGTCCCTTCTTCTCGCACGTTGCACTTCCTATATTGTATACATTTGTGGGGTTGAAAAGGCATATTTAACAAAGTTGAATTGCACAGTTTATTAATCTACGCATCCCTCACACCAAAGCTTCAACTTGCGAGTCATTTAGCTCCTTTCCTTCTTCAAAATTTAATCTCCTCCATTAACGTCTGTAATGTTCACAGGAGTTGAAGGTACAAACGAACCTGAATCCTTCAAAACGTCATATTCAGAATAGGGTCCTCCGAGTGCCAGTTTTGGTATCACTTCTTTATCTTTCTCACATGGTTGAATTGCTCGTTGAACACCACACGGCGGAAGAATGAGAAAGCAGTTGGAAGAGAAACCATCCATTAGCGACTTAAAAATTCTAACTTATCTCGAGCTTTCGCAGAGTGTTTCAGCTCTGCCTGCGTAGATTACGTGTTCCGGCTAAGGCTTTATTTCTCATACCAAATAGTGTGACAATGCAGTTCTCAAGTTCATGTCTTGCACCACATGATAGTCACGTAAGAAGTATAGCCATCCATTATTTACAACTTCGTAGCCATTGTGTCTTGCAAGACATTGAGAATGCTACTCTGTTTCCCGGAATCTCTGCGGTTGTAATGAGATGATGAAGTCGTCTTGTCTTATTTTCTTTCGACCATTCCCACGACGAATGGGGCAGGTGTTTATTCATGTGAATTCTATCACTGAATGGGGTAACGGTATTGATCTCCGACTGCTCAGGATGCTCCTCGAACGAAGAAAGCTAGTTCTATGTCAGCAGTTCAGCTTTAGGTTCTTTACATTCAACAACTTATCCTTTATACCAAAATCAACGAGGAACGACCAGGAACAAGCAATTATTCTCGATGTGCAGGTTTTTGAAATTAAGCCGTTGTTACGGTAACTGCAAAATATGCTTTCTGACGATGCCAACGTTATAAAGCGGGAGTTAGCATTGCAGTCTACTCTCTTACCAGTGGTCCTCGACTTCCATCTAGATCGAGTGCATTCAGCAATCGTAGCAGAAGTGATCGGAAGGCCTGATGAAATCCTATCAAAGGAATTTTACTAGCGCTCTGCAACGCCTCTGCTTCTGCTTATGCATGCTTCTTGGTGAGCTTTCCTGCAGACTCAAACCGTCCTGACAAGAACTGAGTTTCTTTTATCTGGGAATTTCATGGCAGAAAGGAGCTAAGCATAGAGACTGTGGTTTACAACAGGCTCTACCGAGTTTGTTGTTCGTTAGTAGGTCGAAGATGGGAGATGGAAACATGCAAATGTGCATTTTTCCGTGATAAGGAAACATGCTGCTCTTCAGCCTAACTTGAAGGTCGAGATGCTCAACTTGCTATGGCTTCCACCATGACTTGCTCTGGTATTCTGCGAGAATTGAATGCAGTGCTTTCAAGAAGGCCCCGGCTTTCAAGTTGCACTGCGCTTTGGAGTCCAGACCATCGCTGCTCCTCAAAGAGAGGATGTGGACTGGGTCTAAACTTCAAGCAGTGCTTTGAGGCTTACGTTGCTTTTGAGATGGAAGGTATGGTGCAAGAGTTTCAAGCCATCAAGGACGAGATGGGACAGTTGATCCAGTGTGTGGAAGCAGCACTAGAGAGCAATATTCACGGAACGATTGGTCAGAACTCCTTAAGTGAAATTTCGAGGAGATTCGACACATACCTTGCTGAGAGTCGCCAGCGGGTCAAGTTCCTCACTAAACGGAAGCAAATCATATGTAGCCCTGTGACAAAAGCCTTGGAGGACTTCGAGGGGCAACATTATAACATCAGGACCGGTCATTTTAAGACCATCTCGCCCAGCGATGTGACTCATCTCGTCATCCTCAACAGGGTCTTGAGTCTCAAGTTAGACTTCGAGGTTCTCGTCGATCTTCAGGCAGAGTGCTTCAGAGATCCTCTCAGAAGTCTCTGGAACAACCTGCTCAAAAGGAAGTTGCTGGGTTTGAAAATGTTCCCTTCAAAGGATATGCTTTTCGACATAGACTTTAGGGGTAAGTTATCGGCATCTCATCAGACTTCCTCTCACTTCGACAATGTACGAGCTACAACCCCAACTACGCCAACTTCGCCAACTGCGCTGTCAAGTCGCACTTATCGAAGAGATTCCGGGTTCACAGATGCATGGCAAGCCAAAATCAGGAGACGCTGCTCGGTATTTGGATAGTCCCAAGAGCCAATTGACTGCTCCACGAACATAAAGCTTGCTTCCACTTACTGTGAAGTTTCCTGGTTAGGCATGGCCTCAACACCTGGAAAGTTACAGGCTTAGCCTCGAACTTGTTCGTTTCCTTTTGGTATGCGGGAAAGAGGATGTTAAGATCCAGGTTCTAGCACATAGTACACTGAAAAAGGATGCGCTTCGACAGATTTCTGCCCAAGAAAACCCCACTACCTCTGAATGATCTGGAAACAGATGTGGCCCTGAGCAAGTTCCATGTTTGTCATCTAACAACATGGAACTGTACTTCTACGTAATGGCAAGGTGGTGAAGAAGATTGTGTTCCTATGTACCTTGCACTGTGCAACTATTGTGACGAAATCTCGCAATGAAGCTGGATTGTTCTGACTTTGAAGAAGGTTTTATTTCTGTAATTGGTTACATTGTGAGTTTTCTGTCAGTTATTTCTTAAGATTTCGTTATGGATTTGGATGATCAGAGTGACTGCAACGTTGCTTAGGAAGTTATAGTCTTCAGAGCTATCAGTGCTTGAGTGAAATTTCACTTCTACAGTCTACTTTCATAAGAGTGATGGATTTCATTGACTCCATTTCTTCCAACCCTCTCAGACTTATGTAATTTCACGATTAGTTGTCCAAAGGAATCGTTTGACAATTCTCACACAAACCTTCTCATTAATCAAAAATCAAAACTACTTGTGGATGAACCTAAGAAAGTCTACTTATCCACACTCGACACAAACCAGACTACTACAGTAAATGAAAGAAGGAAAGATGGTGTCTTACTATATAACCTCGGAGTTCTATGCCCACTTTGAGATCCAATAAATTTCATTTGGTTGGAGGGTATTATGGTACCTGAAGAGCCGAGAAAGATCCAGGTCGAAACATGTTACCACAAAAGATTAGAAATTGAAAATTGGGGTGCTTGGAGATCATATCTCACCGCAATAACTCGGCCTAAATTCATCACCTAATGGACTTCTGTTGTGAATGCTCTCCACAGACAGAACCTACCCATTTGAGAAACTTAGGTCACTTGATGGGATCTAGCCGTGTGATGGGATATGCATTTCCGGATTGAACAATCAGATTGGGACTCCGACAACTGTATTGAAAGTCCACAACCACGTAATTTGACCTTCGACAATCTTTGGCAGTAGCCACAAAGAGTTACGGGGTTCGTGCCAAAATGAGTTACTCTATCCATACAGTTTCAAGTTGTTCACATGTATATCTTTCCCCTCTACTCAGTAGCAAAATTACATATAAATCAGATGGCCAATGACCTCAAGCAGAGAAACCTTCAAGCAGAATGTATGAGACCGTCCGCAGCACTTGAGTTTGATAATCGATCCACACGTGATTCATTGGTACAGGTAGATCGACTTCTCTCTCACAGTTTCAAGAGTAATGAAAAATATGCAACGGACTCCTGAAAACTCTACTCAACCTGAGTTGATAGAAACTAGTCCGTCACAGAGAACGAGACCAATGTACACAGATCCATGATGACACCGTCCAGCTCTAAATGGTCAAAACAGTTTACATATGATGTGGAAAGATGTTTTACGGATACATAGTGACCATATATGTAAACATATAAATATATTACAGTAAAGTACCTTCACGGTACCTTACACACATTTCACCTCATCAAGATTCGTGAACCTCAAACATGATTTAGTTTAGTGGATGCAGGTAGATCCTACTATTGAGGAGTTTATTGAAGATACGATGGATAGTCTACCTTTGGCGCCAAGTCAGTGGGACTCGATCGATGGTCATCAAATGTAGACAACCCGTCACCTCTACCTCCACTTCATTCCACAGTACCGACTGCTACTATTCTCAACTCCATCAACAGAACTACTCAACACCCATACATAGGACACATCCAAATCCCATCTCAATCCATCCTCGTATTCGGCACTCTACCACGCCTTCTATAAGGGCAGTACAGCCTTAACTTTCAGACGGGATAAGGATAACTCCCTTCTCAGTTCTACATCGCTGCATGAGAGCCGTTCTCAGAAGAGTCCTCAAATGAGCTTGTAGACTCTCCTGAAACACTGACTGAGGCATCTTCAGCCGCACTTTTCCAAACTGATGTGTCAACAGAAACTGATGGGCTTGTAGACTCCCCCAAAGTACCGTCTGAGGCAAAGTCAGAGGCACTTTCAACGACTGAATCCTCAACAGGAACTGTTACAAGCTGCTCGTCGGACGGGATCTGCTCTACAGCTATCTCAGGTGCAACATCTCCATCAGACATTGATTCACCGTGAAAGTCTGACCGTTCAAAAATCGATGGCAAAAGCTGCCAACACGTATGTTCGTTACATGGCTTGGATAGTAACACATCGAAAATTAAGTTACGTCGTGAATCTTCGTCTTCCCCTAGCTTCTGTATGGTCTGTTCTACATCTCCAAAAAATTTAATCATTTCGCGGGGACCGAAGGGGTGTCCATCAGCAACAAGCACAAGGTTTGTTTGCCCGTTTCCTTCGAGGCCATTGTCTCTTGCACGGTGTGATGCAGCAAGGAAATCTGCTGGAACCTGGGCTCTAGTTAAACCCAATCGCCTAGCGAGCATACTATGCTTGGGAAGTCCATCGGCAACAACCACAAGGTTTGCTTGCCCATTTCCTCCGAGGCCATTGTCTCTTGCAAAGTGTGATGCAGCAAGGGCATTTGCTCGAAGCTGGGCTCTATTGAAAGCCATTCGCCTGGCAAGGTTACTATGTTTGTGGCACCCGGAACGGTGCGTCGACATAAACCTGTCAAATTCATTGGAGTGCGACACTTGCTCACCTGGATTCGTCATCAGCCACTCAGTTACACCCGATCGGCGGACAAATCTAGGACCCCCGAACCCAGGAAGATTTGGGGCATGTGATTGTGATACAGTTGTTTCAGAATCATCGAAAAGATGAGGAACATTGTTTGATAGAGACTGGCATGAAGTTCTGCAAGAGAGGAAGATAATTTTCCAAAGTCGATTCTTCAAGACCGCATAAATTTTAGCCAGGTATCTGTGCTCCTTCACAAACGCACACTGTTCACAGACAAAAGCTGTAAGGACCAATGTGTAAAAATAACCTTGAAATATACCGTTCTCAACAAGTTTCGAGCTAAGTTTGAAAATGGGAACAAGACAGGATTTTATCGCAACGTACAGAACAATAGGATAACCACACGCACAAATAGAGTCAGATGCAAATATGAAGCACATGATTGAACTAAACCTCGATCCACAATTTTGCTTCATCCCCAGACATGACATCGGATCTCTAACTTCAATACGTTAAGCTTGTCCAACACAACCGCAAGTCCTGTAGTTTTCTACGAGCAATGAAGATATGCTGGTTGCTGACTAGCGGAAATGAAGACAACACTCAGGCCCGTCAGATGTAACTTACAGTTTCCGCCATGGAAGCGGATGGTTCTGCACAAGTCGAGTGCAGTTGTGCCTTTATACTCTTCATAAGACTGCGAATCCCATGCAGATGACAATCTGTTTACAACAAAAACAAAAACGTGGGTCAATCCAATGCCAGATAAGTGCGCCGGAGGCGCAGACAAGCTAACTAATAAATCGATAATACAAATCTACCTTACGACGTTGCACATGATCATGTCAGTTGCTATTAACCTTCAAGGCCATAATAACTGTTATCACAACTAGACAACATACTCCAGCAAAAACAATCAAAGGACTCATACGCGGGTGATCACCTTTGCAAGATGGCTTCTCATCAAGTGTTTCACCAAAGTCAATCATTTTGTGAATGCCATGCTCCATGAATTTACGTTCGTGCTCATGCTCGTGCTCATGTTCATGGTGATGTTCGTGGTGCTCGTGACCAGAGGACGCTTCTAGTGTACCCATCTGAGGCAAGCTTAGACCAAGGCTAAAGGCAAGCCTCTCCATCTGGAAAATTACAAGGAGGCAGGTTAAATCTCTTACAAAAGTTTCCAGCACATTTTTCTTTGTGTTTGATAAGTCTTGAGCGGCTTCAAAATGTGGTAGCCAAGTCATTGTATATATTACTTCACGAAGCGCATCTACCAAGTCTTGAGAAGCGTTAAACTTAGCACACAGGTCATAGACTCAGATTTTTATCTGACCTTATGAACATTGTGTACCAAGTTATCATTTGAAGAAGCGCATGCCTCTGACGTAGTTGTTCGCATCAAGGCTACTCTAACTGGATCTATTTCCAACTTGGAGAACACCATCAATGTAGCCAGTTTTGGATGGCGCCCATAGAAATTGCACTGCACGTTACAGAGGAGCCTCCCATCAGAATAATTTTCTCTCTACCTTCATCAGAAGCTACGTTGGCCAAGTCATCCATATGGTATTGATATTCAACATGCTCACAAAACAACTTTCGAGTGCCAATATTCTTCTAACACAAGACAAAGTTTTTCAGTTCATGCGACAGCTTTAAATCCGATCTACACGTAAAAAAAATGGATAACGAAAAACTAGCATTCGTGCCGTTAATAATAAACGTCTGCACATAATCACCACGGATTACAAGCTCCAGACTGCAAATTATACCAAGCAACACACGGACAAGCAAACTTACAAATGTCTCCTCTTTGCCTGACAGGTTATCGTCAGTGCACAGCTTCTCCATCAAGTTACTCTTCAACAGCCTCACGAGCGTTCTAGTTTCGTCCTCCAGAATACCTTCAACCGACCAAAATCCATGTCATCCGACGTCATTTAGGACCAAATAGCAACAGCTGAAGACACCGATCACGCATACATACAATGTCCAGGAATACTCAACATCATACGTATATCAAGTCAGTTCAGACATTAAACCCAACAAGAGCTCACCGGAACAAGTCTTAGACTTGATTACTGCAACACTGTTTGCATAATACTCTTCCATAGCCTTGCCAACAATTGCTGTTAGCTTCGTCATTAGTATTGATGAGGAGGGCATGTCACTATGAGGGAATCGACCAAGAGGCTCAGTTGCATGGAGGATTGCAGGGGGCGAAATCGTCTTCTGTCGCCAACTTCTCTGCATAAAGAAGCACGCAAAACGCTCAACATCACCAAAAACCTCCGAAAGATCTTGCACCAGACGGAGAGTCTTCGAAAACTCCTGAGGTGGCTGGCAAAGGAGAAATCGCAATCCGCATATCCTATGATACCGACTCAATCAAGGAGCAAATAATCCTGACAAAATACAAGCAAGGAGCTCACAATTGAGTCACCAATCCCGGCGAAGAAAGACTTGACGTTGGCCAACACGCCATCATCTTCCACCGGTAAGGGCCTGTATTCCGACACGAACCCGGAACGAAACGGAAGGGGGTTATCGACATGATTCCCTGCTTGATTGGCAAATCCACCAATGCTTTGCGGTTTCGACACCACTCCTCCGTCATGTAACTCGTTCACCTCCGGAAGCAACAATTTCTCCCAGGCTCTCCAATCTAACTCGAGCAAAGAGCCTGACGGCGAGGAAACCTGACCTGGCCGATTCAACTCAGACCAATTGGACACCCCAATGAACATGATCAAGAAAGCCGCGCATGAAAGCGTGAACAGCACCAGCACCTCCCATACCCGCTCCCCGCTCGACATCTTGCTCGGTGACTGACTCTCAACTCGCCTACCCCTCCTCTCGTCTCCTCTAGTCTCTCTCCTTCCCTTCGAGCCTCTGCTCCGGATCTTGCTACACTCCTGCACACAATCCTCGTCCGCTCTCAAGTGTCGTCTCCGACGATCGCCTCGCGAGCGCCATTCCTTTCTTTCAAAGCATCCTCCCTCCCGGTCGACCAGATCCCGCAGCACGCTCTCCGCTCGAAGCCACCGGCTGCCAACTCGGTCGCCCCGTCTCGTCTCGACAGAGAGCACGACGCGTCATCGGCGCCAACGGCCTGTCAGAGACGGTATCTACACAAGAACGTGGACCCTTCGATCATGCGATCTTCCTGCCTTCTTCTTCCGGTGGCCCTCCCGAGGACGGCCAGATCTCTTCACCTCATCGCGGAAGTTCCCCCTGTCTCCGGTGCCATCTCCCTCTGCGGTGCCGCACCTTCGTTTCCGAGCCGGGTTTGCGGTTCTGTATTCGTGTATCCGGTGGAGGTCGATTTCGCAGGAGAGGCACGTGAAGGCTTCCGGCGAGAGCGGCGGTGGCAGTTTCGGGACTCTGAGGCGGGAGACTTTCATGCCGCTGGGGAACTCGGCGGCGTCGTACGCCGGGAGAGAAGCTTGGAGGTGCCATCTCCGGACCAGGACAGGACCACGGGAGCGGACCCACCAAGATCTCCCGATCCCGTGGATTCGAGGTCCCTGACGGGACAGGGAGAGGGAGGTGGGACAGGCGTGTTATTATTATACGGTCCTCCAGATACTTTTGACTTTGTACCAAAGAGTGTATACGGGGAAATATATCAAAAAGGACGGGGATGTCCCCTCTCGTCACGTAGAAGATGGGTGCATTAGGCGGTTTCATCTCTTTAGGACTTGACCGGATGTTCCCATCGAGTACTCAAGGATCAAACCGTGTCCATTACACTCTCTTGGAATATGTATTTTACGGAGCTCTTTATTCAACACACGAAAGAATCATCTTACATTAAAATTACTTTCTCGGGGATAATAAGAACTATTTCTCTCTGCGTAACAATGTATGCAATTTGCGCATTCACTTTCTCGTCACATGAGAGTGACACCATAAACTCTAGCTAATATCTAGTTTCGCATACAGAACACAACATCTAACAATTCAACAAAGAAAAGTAAATAGTAATCATCAACACCCTAAAATCTGAATTAAAAAAATTAAAATAGTAGTGTATAGGTCTGATCTACATAATTTTTGCAACATTTCAGATGCAATTAATTCCCAAAAAAGAGTTATGATGAATTAAAAATTCCTCCATTCATGTGTTGGATATGAGGAAAAAATATTACAAATTCCTAAATATTGAATAAACGATCTCTTCCTGTAGAATTCTTCACATTCTTTGAATATAGCCAAGATGGAACCAAAAATGAGAATTTATCAAAACGAGTTTGTTCATACAAATCACCGAAATATGGGACATTAACAACAACTCTCTATGCTATCATCAACCCATCCGGGAGCCAAACCTTGGCTTTGTGTAGGTATTCGTTCTTGCTCATTCCTCCTTCTGCATACCGAACTTGTGGTCCCAATCAGATTCTGTTTGGACTGTTGCCTCGCGCATTTATTTTGGCCTCCGCTAGGGCCTACTGCAACTGGTCTATCCTGTGGAGAATACCGGCGGTAATGTACAGAAGTGAATGTAGTGCTTAGGCCTGGATACAACCTGCAGGAGACGGAATACGCAAGCATGACGACGAGATCTCCTCGTCATGAGAACAGCGAGTTGTCTTCGCCATGAAGTAAGAACTCCACACGCCTCTGACCTCTGACGCCTCAGGATCTGTCTCCTGCATTAAGGCATCGCCTCGGTCGGACCCGATTCCTCTGACTTTTGTGGACCGGATTTCCACATTTGGTGGGACCAACTTCACACTCAGATAAGCAGATCTATAAAGTAAATCTACAAAGTAGAATCGGAACGCGACTCGAAGATCACGTCAACCATCACATGAAACCAAAAGTGTCTCAGAGGACAGTCCCCTGGAATGTCCTCTGAAAAATCTTACAATGTGAAATATGTTTTGCGTGAACATGAACTGAGTAACATGGAACATCTGTATGAAATATCCATATCATGCAATTTATAAATAAAATAGACTTCAAATCAACATTCATCATCTCATCTATATATAGACTCATTCATGGGTAGCTAAAGATCAAAAAATATCCATATATGGTTAATTTCAAAAATATTTCATGTGATAAAGAAAATACATTTATAACCTGTGTTTTTTTAAGAAGCGTTTGCACTCCTGTAACAATTTTATGCCTTTGCTTTTTTAGTGACTAGCTGTAGAGCACGTAATAAAGTTCCAAATTACTCCTTAGACTGGCGTCAAGATTGTTCAGCTACACATTCAAAAAAACCAAAAGTATCATTTGGCTCAGCTCTTAGTCCCAGTAGGGTATCAGAGACCACTCAAGTTGTAATGTGGCTCAATTCGGTGCTCAAAAACTGGTTGTCAACTTTTAGATCTTACATTCCCTCCTTACTATAACTTTCACATCATGATGAAAATATCAAATATCAAATATGTACTAACGCGTCGTCTGTCAACTACTATAGTGCTAGGTATAACAGGTGACATTTTCATTCTTATGCACAAAATTTTTGTAAAGAAATGGTTGAGACTAGACAACCTACTCTCAACAAGTTTCATAACTAAAACTAATTGAGATACTAACAACTTTAAGAAGACAATATATACATATCTAGATATTGTCCAGAAAAAATTGATGTTTTTTAATGTTTCGAACGATGATTTTCTTCACTCTGAACATTTCAACACAAAAAGTTATATCATCATAGTATTCAACATTCCTGAAAATTTGAATCAATAATATACATTCATTAAGTTTTTAGAAAATCTAAGCACATTTTGAATTATTATGTAAATATATATTTTTTTAAATAATATTTTGTCAAGAAAATATGGATTACTTATGTATAATAATTTATAAAAATTAAGATAAAAAAAATTTTATCTTCATTGTTGCTATTTTACTTAAAAATATAATCTTACTTGATATTAAATAAAACATTTCATGCAAGTCAATCTTTATTTATGTTTGCTTTATAATTTCAAACCAATCTTAGACATCCCAATTCTACATTTTATATCTTCACTAGCTTTGCTGATATGAACACATATTGAACTCAAGTTAACATACATGTCAAATCATGTGAAAAAATACACAACTTTCTTTTTGAATGACTCCACATATTTAACATAATATTCTATATACATCAGTTAATTGAAAGCGAAATCTACTCTATGCAATAATTTATTTTAAAAAAAAAGATAAAAGATTAAATTAATAAATATGGATATCATGTACATATGTGAGTTTTCATGTTCCAAAAAAAACTTTTTTTTAAATAAATGCTATTGAATAACTCAAAGTCTACAAGTTTTTTGCGATAGGATATATAATCAATTGGTAAACTCAAATGATGTTCACACATAAGTATCCGACTAGTGCACTATGAATTGATTGATGAATGACTTCTGTAATCAACTATCAACAAATATATAAATGCAGCTTTTTAATATTATTTAATGTGTGGAAATTCAACCCGACTCACCCATCCGATCTCATTTGCTTGCAATGTTGTTAAATAGTTTTAAAAAATTTACTTCAACAAAGTAAACCGTTCAGCTCTATTCAATTTGCTTATATATGAACCTAAACTTTACCAGAAGACTTACATTATTAATCTTTGAAATATGGGATTAGAAATGTCTCGTATGCAAGTTATGAAACTTTGATTGCAATTTATAACAAAATTTGTATGTAGAAGATATAAACATATTTAACTAAGATGTTTTCAACCGTTAACGTACACAAAATCTTTATGATATTTTGAAATGCACATTGCATTTCATTCTTCAAATATTTCTTTCACATTTATTTCAAAATAGATAACTATTTTTACACATTAGTTAAATGTAAAGATAATTATCTACAGGTTTCATTCAAATATCTTAATTATTCAGTTTTTCCTTAAATAATGTGTATATCATTCTTATTTTGGTTCAATGTAAAGTATTTTTAAGTCCTAGATAAAAAATTGAAAGTAAAAAATTCCAGCTAATACATATCAGTAATATATTTAAACTATAAAGCCAAAACTTTGAAGAAGATTTGATATTGATAGTATGATTAATCTTGTGTAAATTGTGATTGTGTTTTCCATATAACTTTCAAATAGCTAGTGAGTATATATAAGAGAAATTTACTTGATGGGACCCCATCAGAACGCTGAATGCTTGATGGGACCCAATACGTTACATTTTACCTATAACCCCTCCGATGGGTCAGCGTCAGTTATGTTCTTGTAACTGCTATGTTTCCACTTCAATGAAAAAAGCAATTTTTCCCCAAAGTTTAGTCAGATTTTCCATGGCTCCCAATCTTCATCATGCAAGAATCCAATTTCTGACGTCCCGGATGATTTTACAGTTATAATGTATAGGCGTAATCTACTTACTCCTCACTTTTTTTCCTAAAACTCTTGGCCAAAGTCACGTAATTTGGTCCGTGAAATGCCTGCGGGGAGAAGTCACTTTTCAACAAAGAGCCTCAATGCTTTTTCTAACCCTAACTCAAAGCAGTTGCAAAAACTCGTAGTAGAACATCGATGACGGTGGATTGAACTACCATCGAAATAGTACCATCAGGTAAAATAGTACGTATTGGATCCCATCAAGACTCAAGCATTCTGATGGGGTCCCATTAAGTAATTCTCTCGTTTATATCATCTTAAGCGTTTTGGCAAATTAAGGTATGTGGATGGGTTTGAATGAGCTTGGTTGGAAGGCAATATCTTCAATAGTTGAGTGAGTTGATTTTGATAAAAAGTCAATGGTGCGAGGAACTAATGCTTATCACGTGAACAAATTGGCGATTCTTATATAACTGCAAACAATGTACCAACCACCAACCAACCTAGTTGTTACTTTCTTGCGAGTCGAAGTAAAAGGTGAAGCATGACTTGGTGATCATAAGCCCCAGCATACTTGGCGCTTGTTCAAGCGCACTTCAAGACAAATAAACATAAGATGGGACTACGTGATAACCATTGCAATCTCCTGTTGCCGTTAAAGCAAAAATCTGTTCAAATATCAGAAAAATTTTCACATCAAAATCTCCAATGGAGAGAGTGTGAATTGGAAGATTTCAAGATCATGAGCATTGAGTTTCAAGTAAATTTTGCTGAGTTAAAGTATAATGAGCATACAGCAACATGAAAATGATCTTTGTGAGAAAAGTAATCAACCAAAGCAACATATATGAAATGAGCAATGAGCTCAGGTTTATCTAGTTTTACTACTACAATTTGTAGTTGGTAGATGCGATACATGATAGCTAGTAAACATTTGCAATAACTTGAGACTCATATGCACTCAATACTTTATCCCGATAGTTGATACGTTAAACTATTGGGTCTCGGAATCAAAGTGATTACTGACGAATATGGTTGAGTATCATGAGGT